TGAAATTAATAAATACTTATGGTATATAATGAGCGTTTTCGGATTTATGGAAAATTATTTCCGCATTACATTTTGTATTAACATATAACGAATGCTATTATCTGAAAGAATTAGACTTAATTCGAAGACTTTTCACGTTCAGGTAATATTAATTTTGTTCTCAATATTTTGTGATATTTTCGCACGGTTTTAAAATTTTTAATATTTTGTTCCTAAAAACTTGTATACCTCAAAAATTACTTATTTTAGACATTCCCTATATCAATAAAAGTGAATATAATTGGGAGTTATTAATAAAAGTATAATATACAGGGTGTTCTATTTGATTTTTTCACGAAAACTAATATATTTCCTTTTGACTCACCCTGTAAAAACGAATCGAACTTCAAGACAAGTACAGGATAAATAACTGTATCAATTTATAAAATTATTGGCAAAATAAAATTACAGCTGTCGGAAGCTGCGTCAAAAATACGGAGTATTAGACACAGGGTATTTTTGACGAAAATTTTTCCCTAAATAAATAAAACATTCATTATAGACCATAACAACTCTGTAGTGGGATTAAGTATAAAATGCAATATTTATAATGCAATAATACAGCGGTCGGTGAACTTTTTAAATCAATACTCGAACATTTTTTTCCCGAAAAAAATCATTTAAATTAAGACATATTTTTTATGGGGGCTGTATATAGTTTTGTCGTATAATAATACACGAGAAATATCATATGAATTACAAAATAACATGCAATTATCATTTACTTATATTTTCTGTGAGGGCGAATTTTTTTTCCTCAACTGTATATAACAAATTGAGGGGTACAATTGAGGGTTGACAATTTGGGGTACTGTAACAAATTATAGTAATAATGGTGGTACAAGCGAAAATTAGAATTGAAAAAAAAAAGAATAATTGAAAACATTCTTTCTTCACGTTTTGGAGAACAGATGTTGTTTCATGTTCGATACAATTGCTTCAAAATGGGGACTTTCTGATGTAAGAGCCATTTAATACAGTCTTCGACATTTAATCAATTTGTGTTCTTCGTTTTTATGTTCATTAGAGTGGAAAAACCTTGTTCGCACAAACATGTTGTTCCAAATGGCAACAATTTTTAACCGCCTCTTCATGTGCAATTTTGAAAGTCTTTTGACATCCAAAAAGACGACAGATTTGGTTTACTATCAAATTGAATACGTGCTTCAGTATTAGATAGAAGTTCAAGAATTGCTTCTGCCAAACCTGAAGGTTCTTCTGATATCAAAGCAATTTCACATATAAAAGGATCTGCAATCCAACTGACAGTACGTGTATCAAGATCTGGAAAGTAACCATTTTCGGAGTTTGATAAGATGTCTTATAATTGTATCCTTGAAATCAGCAAAAGTAATATTTTCGCAATCTTGCAAAAACAAAGCTAACCTTGTTCTGTTCTACTTTCTGTCTCCAATATTGCAGCTTTAATCCAAAGGCTGACACTATTTCCCTCGCTGAACTGACATTAATATTCTTTCCTTGCAATTCTTTGTTTAATATATTTATACTTTCAAAAACGTCCGCTAAATATGCGAGATATGCAACCCAGGAAGTTTCTAAGCTTACCTGCGAGAATATTTTTTTGATCAACCATAAAAATTTCGACTTGTATAAAGTAGGTCCGTATATTCAGCTTCACCGTCCTGACATAATTCACGAAATAGCCGCGTGTTTAGTGCATATTCCTTGATAAAATTTAAAATCTTGACGACATCATGCATGATGGCTTCCTGTGTATGTTCTAAATATTTGAGCATAAGGGCCTGGCGATGGATCATACAGTGAGTAACTTCAATATTTGGGTTATTTTTTTTTACGAAAGCCGAAGAACCATTAATATGACCCAGCGTAGCTGGAGCTCCATCCAAAGATTCAGAAATACATTTTTCCCATTTTAAACTTTGCGCATTGAAAGATTCATTTACTTTATTGTAGACATCAATTCTACGAGATCTCGAGAGGAGAACAAAACAGCAATTCATCTTGAAAATTATCTGCACCTTTGTAGCAAACATATACCATTAGCTGTGAATTCCTATTACAATCAGTTGTTTTATCAAGCTGAATGGCAAAATATTTAGCTTGTTTTAATGCGACAATAACCTGTTCCTTCACATTTTCTGCTAATATAGAAATTCGCCCTATCCCAATTCTAGCTGGCAAGGGGACTGAATTCAGTTTCTTCGCTTCTTTTTGACCACACATAATCTCTGCCATTTTATAGCAGGTGGTTTAACCAAATCTTCACCAATAGTATATGGTTTCTTATTTTGAGCAATCAACCAGGCTACTTCAAAGCTAGCCCTTGATGCTGAATGCTGATCAAATGTACCAAAAAAGTTCTATTCAATCTTTGTCTTTTAAAATATTTCTAAATTTGCAAAGTATTCTCGCGGTTTAGAAGACAGGTGTGAATGCAAAGTATCTAAATGTTTCTTCAATTGACTTTTTTTGAAAGATTCTGAAGTCAGTACCTCCATATATACAACACACTGTGGTTTTATTCATTGTCTTCTATTTGTGTAAAACCGTAATTAGGGAATTCGTCTTGGTATGTTCTTTTTCCTGCGATCTGAAGGGAGACAGAAAATAATAGTTGTAAAATATTGGAATTAAATTTTCAAATTGCGGCCTAGCTTGATCGATATATCATAAATGATAAAATGGTGGTCTTGTCAGTTACTAACTAGTAAAAACTCACTCTCTGACTCGTCAATGTATTTGTATCTTGACGGCATGGCATGGACTTAGCAGGTAGCCGGGGCTGTAATTTACTGCGCAAAGATACAACTCGAGAACACTCTAATGGTGGGGCGTGAGATGGCGTGGCCTGCATATGTCGCTAAATTGTTTAAGTTGAAAAAAAAAAACTTTTTGCTCACAAAAGTTTCATTTTTACCCCCAAAAATTTCATTTTTACCCCATTTGGGGCAAATTGCCCCGGTTCCCCGACCGCTGCAATAATATATAGGGTTCCATTTTAAAAAATATAAGTTTGGTTTGAATAATCTACTTACGAGTTTATTTGACACGAGCGGAGCGAGCGTTTAATAAACGAGTGAGTTAAAAAGTTTACCGATCGTGTTGCATACTATACTTTTTCTACGACCGTTAGTTTTTGGTTATATTTTCGCAAAACGACACGAATACATTCACTGCCATGATTGTCAGAATTGACAAACGTCAAAATTCAAAGCGTGGGAAATATCTCCGAAAACATCCGGTCGCTTCCAAATCTGTGCGGTAAAATCCCCGAAATGTCCGAAGTGGCTCAAATTCATGGGAAACGAAACTGACGTGGTAAAGTGACGCTTCCCGCACGCTAGATTGGTGAGTAATTAGGTATTTTACAGATGGGAGTAGAAAAAAGTATTTATTTCTTTATCTGTTCTCTGATCGCTGTCGACGCTCCATAAGAAAACAAATAACTTCCGAACGGTATGAGCTAGGATCCCGAAATTTGGCACCTTGGACACATAAGTCTGTGTGTCTGTTTTATGTACATCGCTATGAAACACGATAAGTGTCCGAAATTTGAAGCTATCAATTTCAAAATTGGCACAAACATAGAGTTTAGCTCCATAACAGAACCAATTGGCTGGAGGCCTGGAAGTACTTTTAAAAATTTTAAAACCCCATTTGCAGGGTTTCGAGAAAAAAATTATTCTTGAATTCTTGAAACAAGAGACGCGCGAGATGCGAATGAAAAAAACTTTATTCTTGTTGATTTTTAAATAATATACAGGGTGTGTCGGCAATTTGCAAAAAACTGAAAATGCGGTTCTCCTTATAACGATAATTGACGATAACGAGAAGGTTTTGATTCTTTTGTCAGTTTGTTTCACATGACTATATAGCCCGTATGGACATCTAAAAATTTTGCATTTACGGTTTTCATATATTGTACATGGTGGTCGAGATATTCTGTGCTATATTCAAAAACGTCATACGTAACTCAAATATGTAGCTATCGACTTTAAATATGGCAAGGAAGTAAAACTTCGTAGCCACATCTAAACAGTAGAATTTGGGCGTAATCAAAGATCACCAAATTTTTTTTTTAATTGATTATTTTAGCTTCCATAAAAATGTGATTTTTTCAAAGCTATTCAACCAATTGGCAAAATTTGCGAACCAGGTAATGCGGGAGATCCGGGACCATAACCCTTATTTCAAGTATTTTTTCGATTATATACACGATTTTTCAATTATAGACAAAAACTAAAAGACCCTGAAAATTGTACTTTTCGGCATTAAATTGTTAACCGTGAATCAAAATTCGTGAAAAACATGGCTATTTGGTTCTCACAATAATGAAGGCCGCATCGAGGCCTACAATTTTTGTATTTACGGTTTTCGTCTATCACACGCGCTTATCGAGATATTTGAACAAGTCAGCAAAAACATATTTTCTCGTAAACCATTTACTATTTTGGAAAAATTGTTGGACCTGGAAACGTGGGAGATCCCGACCTATAACCTCAATTTCCGGCATTTTTCCAATTATGTACAACAACAAATCTAAAAGACCCTGAAAATTGCCGTTTTCGTTTGTCCATTATTAGCCGTTAATGAAAAACTATAAAAATTTTAAAAATTTGGTCCAAATAATATCTTAAATTGTGAGGAGAGAGAGTTCCAGGTTTCGTCTATCTAAGTGAATTACAAGGTGTGCACACAATATAATTGCATCGATTTTGCGAAAGTTCCATAGTGGTCCGCGGGAGCACGATAGAAAAACAATGCCGACGAGAAACCGTGAAACTCTTTCATTTTAAAATAAAAAGCTACTTGGCGCTACGCTCTACGAGCTTGCTCCGCCCAGCTAAGATTTTTCGAAAGCAATCTTGCTAGTAACTTGGTGACGTTGGCAACGCTGATAACAATCCCGTCGCCTCTTCCATCACGTTTCCCGCGGGTCTCGCGCTACGACGCAACACGTCGTTTGTGAAACGTCGGGTGCGCGGATCAGCGTCGCGTCGGCCAGGCAGTGGCAGAAGAGTTTTCCAGAAACGCGCGCAACCACAGTGCGCCGCGAATACTTGATCGGTGTGGTCGGTGTCGGTCGCTCGCTCTCTCTATCTACTCTCTGCTTCATCAAGTAGTGTGTTCCGAAGAAAAAAAAAAGTGTTATCTCCAATTTTGCAGCAGACGCGCGGAGTGCGTTTTTCTTCTGGCGGCATGAAGTCAACTAGCCGGGCCGCCAATTTGGCTGTCGTGGTGGAACCGTTTAACGCGGACGATTCCGGCAACAGTTGCGGCAGCAGTGTGTTTTCCGATTTTTCGGCACCGTCCGAAGACGATTGCGGCCTTCAGGTGTCCGACTTGGATACCGATATCGACGGAACGTCCGAAGTCCTACAGGTTGGTAGCCATATGCTTCCCGGTTTTTTTTTTCAGGTCATCGCGTGCGCGTATTTGTTGCGGTGGTATCGAAGTGTATCTCTGGCGACTAACGTTCGCAAGCATCGTTTCGACGGCACTTTTTTTTTAAATTTTATTCCCGAGCAGCGAATTGATTTAAGGAAACAGTAAGATATGAAGATGACGCAAAAAATTCAAAGCTCGGCTATTGAATATTTGTCATTTTGATATATCCCACCATCTCTTTTTCACCGAAGTACAAGCTTAGATATTTTTTATTGAAAACAATCGCCGGTAATGTGGGCTTCAAATAAGTTAGTATCAGTGGTATATATAGTTTAATAATTTATAATTGTTTCCTCGTAGTTTGCAGGGCGAGTTTCATTTTAGCGGCTTTGGCCAAAGATAAAAAATAACGATATAATAACATATTCACAGTAGTTTTTAAATCGGAGACAAGTGTTATCTCAGTTTTGTAAATTTCCCCTATCATAACGGTCTCATTAAACTTTTACTACCGAGTATATTACTCTTGGTAAGTTTGTGCTTTTATTGTTTCCACAGAACAAAACCTTTACCGATACCAACCTTGGAGATGACAATCAAATAATTACTCTATCATATGAAGCCTGCATCCCTGAATCCTCTGTAAATAAGTAATCCATGTGCCTAACTGAACGCACGTTTTGGTAAAACAATCATCATCAGCAAAGGACATTTAAAGTTGGGACATATAATGACCTACTTTGACCGCACATTTTGGGGAAATAAATTAAATAAACCATTTTGATTTTAAAATTAGATATGCATTACGTACTCGTGATATACTTTGTTAAAATCGTTTTTCCTGTTTTTCGCACATATCAGCCGATAAATTGACGAAAAAGCAAAATTTCAAAAATAGGTATTTTTTAAATTAATCTTAAAACTCTTCTACTCGACTATGTAAAACCTGGTTTGCTTCTTTTAATTTTTAATTTGTATTATTAATTTCGTTTATCATTTTGTGGAGAGAAACCCGAGGACCGTCTCGAGCCACACAAAATTTCGAGTCTCCCCTGGTAGTAAATCCTCGTTTTGTATGTCTCATTTGGGATAAAAAAGAGCGAGAAAGAAAGAAAACAAACCTATGAAAAAATCAATCAAAGCATACAAGCCGTGGGCCCTCTTTTTTTTAGGCTTTGTCCCCGTTTGCTCGTCATAAATTGTATTCGTTAAAATGTCATCAATAGAGGTAAGTAAATTCAAGCTCATAAGAAAGTTTTCCATTTCCATATTTTTTAATTTTTGTGTATTCGGTAAAGGTACGGATAACAGTTTGATAAATGGCGCGCATTTATCGGCAGCTTTGGAGTAAAGGGACCCCTTCTCCTCCTCATAATAATAAAAAAAAATCTCTCGAAAAATCGATTGTCAACCCCACGCTGTCGTCGCATTTATATCTTTGCGTACCCCTTGGAAAACGTACGTTAATACGTTATAGGAAGATGGCTGTCTAACCGGTAACGAGCTTAAATAAAAAGCTGTTACGAAATTGTCGCGTTTTCTCTTTTCCTCAAAGAGGATTGAAAAAAGCGTTAAATCAAGTAGCAAATTTCCGTACGACTAGTCATTTCCTTTGACAAATTATTCATGTGAATGGGTAGGTAGTTTAATTATATGTATTAGTTATACTTCACATATTTTGCAGAGTAATCGATACGATTATTGTTTAATTGTCCGTAGCGTCGTACAGTACAATAAACAACTGGAAAAAATTCTTGCTGCGATCTGCCTTTGTGGCGACCGCTGTGCAAAAGTCACCGTAATTATTACTCAAAACCTGCCGAAAGGATCATTCAGATTAATTCGGCAACACTCTCCGCATAATGTTATCAGATGAATATCAATAGGTTAATGACTTTACAGTCCTATAATTATCCTATATGTAACTACCACATCATAAATGCTCCCGTACATTTGAAATAATTGACGGCTTTTAAAAAGGTTATTGTTTCATTGACGTAAAGCTCTATTGAATGTTGTAGTAAATTAAGCATGGAGTCGAGCAGAGCATTTTTTTTTGTTTTGATAATTGCTTTGGCCATTTTGTTAAGGTGCAAGGGAAGGTCGGGAGGTTTGTGTCAATTTTCACTTCATTTTAGTAATCAAATTAATCAGTAAATTAAGCACTATCGTGTAGAGCATATATTATAGAACCTATGGAAAAAATTTGAAATAGAACACATACGTCCTGCATGCGGGACATTTGGGTAGGTAGTGTGGGATGTTTGGGTGTGTAGTCACTCATATGAAAAATTTATTTTTAGGTAATAATGGTACTATCAAAAGTAGGGAGAAACATTTGTAAGTAACTAACTAACATAACGAACATAAAAGTTATGGTAATAAATGCATACATTAACGTAAATTTATAATACAACTTAAATCAACTTCAAAGGCTTTATGTTGCACAGACCGGCCAGTACCTCCGATTGGAACTGGAGGTGGTAGTCGCAGGTCAATATTTACATATATACAGAATGTCATCCAATTTATCTTCAGAGAGTTTCCTCTTCCTCTCATAAAATTGACAGAACATGAATATCAGGCGACACTTTTCGATTGCTTTCACTACAATGTAGTCACCAGTTGTCAATCCATTGACAGAGGGGTCAAAACCTTTGGTATGATATGATCTTTTAATCTTTTTAGGGGACTATGACAGGAGGCAAAGTGTTTCCTGCAGCATTGACCATGCAACATACGATAATTAATTGGCCTCTTTTTGCACTTGTTATTCTGTCCTTTCTTAGCAATAACTCTTGAACGTTCATAAACAGTGCTGGATCCCGTCTCGTCGAGATTGAAAATATTTCCGGCCAAAAATTTATGCTTATCCAATATAAAGCTTCTGGATGCCTCAACGACAGGTTTTTATTGCGGTCCTGCAGATTTGTGTTCATCCCATTCCGGTGGGTAAGCCCAATCGCTTAGCCAATTCGTATGCAAACTGTCTCGTTTGTTTAATATCTAGACCGTAATGTATTTTACTGTACTCGCGTTTTGGAGTGAAAATTTGTCTAAATGAAACATTGGCTTCATATTCGTAATTGTCCTGCTCCTCTTCGGAAAGAACTTTGGCTTTACTTACATGTCTCTGTAGTGATGAAAAACTGAAGCCAAAATCGTCAACCACTCGGGTAACTTTTATTCCATTTTTAAGAACACAACTGACCGCAAATTTAATTTGCTCCTTGGTTTTTCGAGGCCTTCAATCCTTTTAGTGAGTGTATTTCCGCGGCATCGTATTCAGCCTACAATGTAATAAGAAAGAATTGGTAAACGACTGTTATATCGCTATACAACTAGTGATTTTATTTGGATAAATGCATGATCCAAATCTCCGTATCATGCGGGAGATTTGGGTCATGATTCAAACAACCCGCACTTTTCTGACTCATACAAAAATGTGCTCGAATTTCCCGCTCAAAATGATGTTAGGTTATGTGTTGCTCTTGTATTATTTACTAAAAAAAAAAACCAAATTAGGAGTGCAAAAGTACCTCTCGTGCCATATCGAATGATAAAATGAAAAAGTGATGAAAGATAATTTTTTTTCTTAAATAACTTACCTGGTCAAAAAATCGATTTTATCACCGTAGATATCGACCGCTCACAGCTGCACAGCGGTTGCAACAGAAATCAGTTTTGATATTGTATAGGCGTATGTGAAGGCGCACATAAAATATAAAATGTGTTTGGAAAGTAATTTTGCTATTGACCCAAACCTCCCGACTCTCCCCTACTAACCAATAAATAAAGCCTTCCCACTTTTTAGCGTTAGATTATGTTTTACCCGTGACGAAGTTTTTCCAACCGTTTAGGTATTATTCCATAATAAATATAGGTCGCCATTTTTACGTATCCTATTAAATGCAAAACAACGTTGACAGGAAGTTTGGCAGTTTGACGTAGTTACTAATCCATTTTTTTTTTTAAGTAAATGCATAATAAGGGTTACAAATTTACTTTTTTTAGTGTCTTAGAAATAGAAGTTTCTCTATTTGCTACTTTTAAATTAGAAAAAACCTTTTCAATTTCAAAACCGAAGATAAGAATTATATACTAAAATGTGATCTATGCACACCTGGCTCTGTGAACATTAAGGACCTGTCCGGTTTCCATAGTCAGTATATGCACCTGGGGTCTCAGAGTTCAGCAGCCCCCGTATCAAAGCGAGTCCGGTTGTCGCCCAAGTCGGCAAACATGTTTTGCAACTACTACATACTCGTTTTCTGTTCGATTGTCAGTTATCGAATCAAACAGCCCAACAAGATTTCCGCCTTTATATGTTCATTCTCCTTTACTTTGGAATTTTTTGGTTATTCCATGTTTTTATTTCTTTTATTTTTTACCCAACCGTGTTTTTATAATGTCTTATAAATTTTGATTTGGATACATTTTCAAGGAAGTTTTAAAATTTCAACATACAATGAACAAATTAAAAAGAATTTCCCCTAATTCAAAATCGGACATACATACGAATTAAGGATATAATTATGACTTTTAAGATTTGTTTGCTGCAGACAAAACAATAAAAAATCGCCCTGATGATAGTCTTCTATACATTGTCTAATGTGCTTATTATATCAAGATCAAAAAGTACTTCTCATTTACTATAATTAACAAAAAACATAATATTAAAAAATATGTTATTAGCTCTATTGCTACTTTTGCTGTTGCGTCATTAAGTTATACATCTACAAAAATATTCATATATTAGTAAGATGTTCTTCTAGATTTAAGTTAAATTGTCATTTTGTTTTAAACACACTTTATGATTTTGTGTTTGGTTAGCACTTTACAAACTGTTCAGCAGTAAACAAAATACAAAACATAACATAACCATAAAACATTGTCAAGTTCTTTCGCATACTCTTAGAAAAAACTGTTATAGGTTCTGTTCTTAGTTCGTAGCATCATTATCAAATCCAAAATAAAAAAGCGGGCGAGTCAAC